CCCTCCGTTGTATATGCCAATTGCCTCTGATATAAGCATTCTATAGCATTTAAGTCAGGTGGTTTGTTGTAGCCTATCCCCAGACCGTGAGGCTGGATATGACGGCCCTCGTAAAGACTGTGAAGAAAAGATAACCCCGAGTTTTTTCCGTCCTTTATTCCCATAGTAGCCAAACTGCAGAATGTTCCTCGGGAGGACCGGACGGCAAGTACAAACGTTGAGGAGGGTACAATGGATTCTGATCAGCAAGGATACACCGTTTTCCCCGGCTATCTGGCACGTTCTCATTTCGTATGAAATGCATCGCAGAATACATCCGTTTTCCACCACCCAAATCACCATTTTTTCCTGGGGCAAAACTATTTTAACTGGTATTGTTTGTAGTTTAATTGAAACTCATTTTTATGGAAATTGGACTTGACCATTAAGTTCTACATGTTTGGAAACCTAGGAAACAATTTTCAAAAATCAAAAAAACTTAAAATTAATGGCAAAAAAAAAATAATTAAAAAACCACGTCTAAACGTGGAATCCGCGTGTGCTGCGCGCAGCAGAAACCACGTCAAAACGCGGAAAACCCCCGTTTTTTTATTAAGGCCCAAAAAAAAAAACATAAATCTGGATTATGTAGATCTCTCATCCATATAAACTAAATTTGAATTTGAGTTATAATGAATGAGTGGTGGGGCAAACAAGGTGGCCACCACCAAAACTGTGTTTCTGCCTCAGAGTCACACCAGGAAAGCGTTATAATATTCAAGGCCAGTCACACCAGCGAGCCTCCCACCAGGGGGACTTGTGTTAAGTTCAAGCAGAGGCGAGGTTTTATGTAAGACCAATCTTCCAGCGCACCCAATCCACGTGATTTTCTCTTTGAGATGAAAAAGCAGGAGAAGAGTCTTCCAGTATTCCATAGAGATGGTCGCTTTGCATCCGGATATCTGCTCTTAATTTCAGCAGAATTGCCTAATTCCACTGAAATTAAGAGCGGATATCCGGATCTGCGCAGATATCTGGATGCAAAGCAACCATCTCTAGTATTCCATAAGGGCCGATGCCCAGGAGCCCCCATGAGATGCAGAAACACCACATAAATACATCACAACACCACCACCTAATCAGCTACATAACACAAGCATGACAACAAAAGCAAAACAAAAGACAGCGTCTGTTTAGACTAGGATACTACTGTCAGCTCCGGTCTCTTATGTGACCAGGAGTTGATAGGGTTTTGGGTCACACTATAGCCAAGAGGGCCAGTGGAAATTAAGTCCAACTCAACACAGTTACAGTGGAGGGACTGGCTCCTTATAAAAATAAGGGACAGCTGTGGAATGAGCTTCACAGTGCCAGAGCTCAGTTAATATAAGAGAAAATGAGGTTTGTACTAGTCTTATAAGTTAAATATGTAACTTATAAGGCTAGTAAGATGATAAAGAGAAATGTAATAATTAAAGTACAATAATTTACTGTAAAAACCAAACCCCACTCACTAAGTTGTTTGTAATAACTAGTAAGGCTCTTGGGTTTGTATGGTAATAATTGTCTAGGGGATGAATCTCAGGGGGAGAGCCATCCTCTTAAATATTACAGAGCAGGGGTCAATCTGCTGCTGGGACCGGTGCAGTCCCCTTATTGGTACACTTTTCCTTGGGGGAAAGTGTCAGGATATTCAGAGCATGCTAAATGTACATGTGCTGAATATCCTTTATTTCAGAAAATACACATAAGAGAGATAAACATAATAATCATACACACAAGAGAGGTAAATAGGATAATCATATCTTGGATACACCCAGTAGATAATTATCCTTTTCAACTTGATTATAATTTTCATGGAAGAGGTAAGTTAATAAAGAGGTGGATCTTTATTAATTTACAGAATAATTATCAACATAAAAAATACATGTAAAAAGGGATAACACTACTTTATAATTATTAACTTAAAGATTACATATAATAATAATTGTTATGTAACCCAAGGGGGTTACATTCTATTGTAGAAACCTGGGCTAGTGTCTCAGTGTCTGACAACTACTCTATATGTAAGCTATCAAGCTAAGGTGTTTTGATCCAATCAGGACTCAGGCTGTCAATGGGCAGGGCTCGGGCCCAAGCCTGCCCGCCTTGGAATGTGGGGCGGGCCACAATTCCAAAAAGTATGTCCAAACCCGCCCCGGATTTGAGACAGTTGGGCTCGGGGCGGGTCTCGGGTCTGCCCATCAAAAAGTTTTTTTTGGCCCGAGTATCATTCTTAGCCAACAGGGTTGGGGCAACGGTGAAACAGATCCAATCCGATACAGTATCGGCTGATTTATTGGATTGGATTGATTTTTTGATACCAGGTATCAAAAAAATAAGGGATTGGATCACCCTAGCAATCCAATCCCATGATATTGTATCAAAATTGTATTGGATCGGGATTGGGATCACATTGCAATCCCGATCCGGCACCCAAAAGCTGCAGGCTGCATGCCTCACACTTTGGTATCATCCAAAGTGCAACCAATCCGGTCCCCGGATTGGTATTTATCAGGGATCGGATCAAAAATGGACCCGATATCAGATCGCTCCACCCAATACCAGTTGTCTGATAAATTGGGATTGGATTGGGTGGAGCGATCCGATACCGATACCCGGTATTGGGTCAATTTTTGATCTGATCCCCGATAAATACTGATCCGGGGATCAGATCTGTTACATTGTTGGTTGGGGTTTGCGGAGCGGAGGCAGATCAGACTGTGATATCCTCATTTGAGGCGGGCATGGGGGGTTTCCTTGGTCTTCTTTTTTGAAAGTTTCAATCTGGGGGGGGGGGCATGGCGATGAGAGATGCAGCAAACAGAGAAAGTTAAGCTGTATATCCAGGTACCGATGGGGCCATGGTGATGGGATTCTGGGCCCTCAAACCTAACAATATGTACTGTGAGTGGGGGTAGGTATTATTAGGCTAATCCTGATGATATTCAGAATAACTCGGGCTTTTTCATGGGACTCTGGGCCGGCCCACAGCCAGGAAAGCCTGCCCAAACCCGGCCCATGAATTTCCACGGCTCAGGTCACACTTGCGCAATTTTCCACCCTTTCCTGTCCAAACCCACCCCGAGACCTGTCGGGGTGTGGGTAGCCCATTGACAGCCTGAAGATTCAGGACAATGATTATAAAGAGAGAGAGAGAACGAGTTGGACAAAGTAGGAAGTTTGAGGCTACAATTATAAACACATTTTTGAGATTGTTCTTTTTTCAAAACGTTTTGAAACCGTCTTGAAATTTGTTTCTTTTATTTTTTTAGGAAATTGATAGCTTGATCAGTTTTCAAAAACTGATTCAATAATGGTGTGTAATCATAAACCCAAGCTCTGATTGAGCCCACATTAAGGCCCTGGAGGTTTATGATGTTTTGCAGACTTCTCTGCTCATGGACTCTAATCGGCGGCAAGCTTAACTAATCCTCTCGCGACGAGAGTCGTTTGCGGGCAGGTCTGGGCGGCAGCCCAGTCTTGTCAGAGAGGCTTACAACGTATTACTCAAAGCCCGCATGAGGCAGGCATGATTTTGAGGTCCTTTTTTGTGTTTTCCCCTCTGTTTTTGATGTTATTGCTCTCAAAATTTCATTGTGCTTTTTTTCTTGTTCTATGACATCTCCTTGATCTATCTGTATTTTTTCATATTTTTATTTCCATACCAATCTTTTTTAAAAGAACAAACAGAAAAAAGACAAATTCTCATTTTGCAGGCATAAAATATGCTTATACTGAGAGTGCGCTCGAGCCTCTCTGCCAAATTTCCAAATCAAAGTTCAAAATCATGAACTTCACTGCATGTTTTCTACCAGAACCAGACTGGTTTTTGCAATGAAAAAAATATCTAAAAATCTGGATTATGTAGATCTTTCATCCACATGAATTAAAAATAAATTTGAGTTGTAATGAATGAGTGGTGGGGCAAACAAGGTCGCCACCACCAAAACGGTGCTTCTGGGTCACACCGCAAATGCGTTTTAAGTTTCAAGTCCCTCCCTGCGGGAGGGGGCGCTTCGCGCCCAGCCAGTCACACCAGCGAGCCTCCCACCAGGGGGACTTGTGTTAAGTTCGAATCGGCGGACTGTGGGAAAAGGAGCAACAACTGAGCCAAAAAGCTGAATTCAAGGTAAGGTAGAACAGGAGAGTGCGGCTATTGGCGGCTATGCAAGGGTGGTGATTGGTGTTTCCGCATACCAGGTCTGTAGCATTTCTCCTAGTACATAGACCCATACACAGACCTCAGCTTGGCAAGATGAGAAAGGTTCGAAATTTTTGCAAAAAAAAAAAATCAAACTCAACTCAACCCTCCAAGCCAATTTGAGATCTTTTTGAGAAAAAACATGAGACTTATTTGTTGGGATTGAGTTCCAAACAAACTACATAAAAAGATTCTCAAAAAAAAACATTTTCTCAAAAAGCTGTTTATAATTGGAGCCTGAATGAGGTAGACAAGAGCAAGCATTGTTTGAGAACCGCCACGAGCGAAATAATGACAACAATGATGACTATAAGAATCAACTGAAAAAAAAAACACTTCAGAGAGAAAAGACTGGGCAGATGTCTATTGATTGATGCACATACTAAGATGGTCTGAGAGTATACTACTACATGGATGGAAGATTTAGAAGAACGATGGCAATAAGAAAGATCACAATAAATAGAGAGATTGAGAAGAGGAGGACTAATATCAGACAAACGCTAATTGATTGGATTTATTTTTTTAATGGTCTATGAGGAATGATGATTGCCTGGTGTGAGTGGGATGGAATCAATAAATAGATGAACGCACATCATAAAAAAAAAAAGAACACATCGAAAACGAGAATAAATAAATAAATAAATCATTAGAGGTGTTATAAAGCAGGAGAAAAAAAAACAAAACAATGAAATAAAGTGAAAAGGATAGAAGAGGGGAGGAGGGGAGGGCGGATAATGAAGATCAAGCCCAGCCGTCGAGGATCTGGTCTTCGTCGACAAGGTCGTAGCGACTCCACATGTCTCTCCACGCGGCTCCCTGATCGCCATCGGGCACGATAGTCTTTTCGGCAACGACGACTTGGTCAGGGTTGTCGGATGAACGAAGCTGAGTGACGACGCGGTGCTGTAGAAGAATGATGAAGAGATGAGCAAACGAGATGGAATCGAGAATCGAGAGGAGGAGGGGAAGAGACTCACCAAGCCCAGGGTGAGTTTGATCATCGGTGGAGTGGGAAGATAGTGTTCGAGCTGTACCTCATCGAGGTCTACTGACTGATGGCCAGCACCAAGGCTCTTACGTTCGAGATGAGCGATGGAAGCGAGGATATTACGGGCGGCGACCTCGGCCTGATTCCAGCCGACATGGCCGGCCTTGATGGCGCCGAAGCCGTCGATGCAGTCGCCGATAGCAAAGACGCGCTTCCAGGCCGGATTCTCATCCCTCTGCTTGTTCGTCGGGAGTGTTGGCCGGGAGATCTGGAGGGACGCAAAGCCGCACTCGCATGCCGCCTGGGCGCCCGTCGGGGTCTCGACCGGCGACGGACCCAGCCGCGACGGCGAGATCTGAAGCCCCCGGTTCACTCGGATCAGCCCGCTCGAGCCTTCCTGGTTGCGCATCCCTCCGTGCACCGCTAAAGGACAGAATTGGGCCATCAAACTTGTGTTCGGGATCTGGCCTGTACACGTGAGCTGTATGATGATGATGATGAGCTTTGTTATCAGAAACTCATAATAATCGTCAATGGGAAATCTTTCTCGGAGATGACTTACGACTAAATCGGCCTCCCATCGGTTGCCCTCGTTAGACAACGACTCGACAACCACCTTTCCAGATCCTCTCTCCTTCTGTAACTCGATGTCCGCCTTCAACTTGGTCAGATTGACGCGCTCGCCAAGGACAACATGGACCCCAAAGCCATCAAGGGCTTGCTTCACTTTCTGGTCAATCTCGGGCTTGAAGCTCGGCAGAAACGCCGCCCTGGAATGGATCAGAGTGACGTGTTTTGGTGCACCTAGCAGTTGGTATCGGTGGGCAATGTCGCAAGCATCTGCACATCAAAAAAAAATCAGCTTCAGTTTTGGATTCTTAGGAAACGTGTTAGGTGCTCACATTGGATCCCTAATGCTCCTCCACCGACGATCACGATCTTCTCGGCCTTAGCGATAGCAGCCTTTTGGGCCTCCAAGAAAGCGACGCCGTTTGTTTTGGAGCGATGTTGGTCGATGGGGAGATGGAGGGGCATGGGCATATGAGAGCCTAAGGCCTATGAACAACGCCAAAAAGCAGGTTAAAATCAATGCGGTCCAAGAGTGGGGATGGAAAAAAAAGAGGTAAATACATAGACTAAGAAGTCCCATCCGACTTGGGCGGTTCGTTGAGGGGCTGGATGCGAGTGTGGATGGGCTCCGATTTGTTCGATGCTTCTGGAGGATGTGAGTTGATGGTCAGGTTTCTTAGCAGCAGGGCTGTTTTTAGAATCCAGGGATGAGGCGTATCCGCTGTCGGTGAACACGCTCCCGGCCGGCGAGTCAGCGAGATTATTGTGGATGATGGATTCATGGACTGATGATGATGAGTCAGGATGGAGATCGACCATCCGGTCCAGGAAGACCTTCCGGTCCACAATCTTCGTCACTGAGGCATTGATCAATCTGATCCTTGGATTTAGATTTGTACTACTACTACTACTACTACTACTACGCTCTTCTGGACTCGAGATGTGGTTGTTGAGCTTGTTGAGTTTGCCGGTGTAGGGGATGAAGTTGCGATGAGCCAGTCCAGTGACTGCGCTTCTGGGGAACGAGTAAACGTGCTGCACAAACCAACCAAACAAATTTGTTTTTGTATGTTGTATGTGTCAGCATATCAGTCGACTAAGTTGTATACCACAGTATATGTAAGACTGACGTTGAAATGGGTGTTCCGTTCGACGAGGGTGACGGACCAATGGCTAGGAAGTTGTTGAGCGAGCAGCTCGGCGGCATGCAAGCCGGCATAGGAGCCGCCGATGACGAGTACGCTTGGATTGGAGGTGTTCATTGAGTTTGTTGGGGGGGTTTCTTTAGTTTTTCTAAAGAGGTCAAGAGGGTGACTGTTTTGTAGGGTGGATGATGATGGGCGGATTGACTGGCTGGCTGGGGTGGCCGTCTGCCTGGAAACTGAATCCACGCTCAGTCTTCCCCACCCATCATCACTCATCACTCATCACTCAAACGGTAGTCAAACCGCTCTCGGATAAAAAAAAAAAAACAATGATGAAGATAATACTGGGCAGTGGTGAACAGACTACAATTTACATCATCTGACTTTCAAAATAGGCTCTACGCAGGTCCGAGAAGAGATTATGTAGGAAGAGCGAAATTAAAGCTGAACTCATCCTGATTGGACTAGAACCCCACTGCATTCTCCCTCCACCAATCAATCACTAATCAACCAAAAAAAAACGCATTGGAAACTTCTTGATCACACATCTTCCTTCATCATCACTTGCTTCATGCTTCCAAAAAAAACAGAGAGAGAGAGAGAGATAAACAAGAATATTCATCATGGGATATTCATTATTCAATAGAAAAAAAATGGGAAAGGTTGAGAAGACCGAACAAAAAAAAAAAAAAATCTAAAAGAAAGTGACTCTCACTAGAAACAATATTTTCTCAAAGAGAGGTGCGAGAGAATGAGAAAGAATTAGAGACAGGTTTTTATAGAAAGATGAATGTTTCAATCGTATAGAGATAGACATTCACGATTCGAGCAATGTGCAAGAAGCCAACAAAAAAAAAGATAAACAAGATGCATGATTGGGGGAGAAAGGGAATCTTGAGAGAGAGATGAATAGGCGGGTTATCGAGCAAGACGACTAGCTAGGAGCGAGCGAAGTTTCTACGTAGAGAGCGCGCAAAGAAGCATGAAGCGAGATTCAATACGAGAGAGAGAGAAAGAGGGGGGAAAAGTGGAGGCTCGAGAGGACGTACTTGAGAGTTGCTCGATCAGCGAAGCCAAGTCCTTCTTCAATCCGAGCAGTTTCGAGACCTCCATTCCCACCTCGCCCTCCATCGAGCCCGCCTTGAGCTGACGTACCCGTTCACCCTGAGCGACGATAGCCAGCTCGATCTCGACCATCTCCGGGGGCTTGGGCCCCGAAAAGAGCGGTCCAGCAGGCGTGGTGCCCTTGCTCTTGCCGCCATGGGCTGCCTTCTTCTTGGCCTTCTTGCTCTCGCCCGGCGACTCCACAACTGCAGGATCGCCAGACGGCTTGGAGCCGCCATACTGTTTGCGCCAGAACGCCGCCCGGTCCGGGTCGATCTTCCGGAACAGATAGATCGCATCCCCGATCGTGTGGCCAGGCAGGAGATCGATGCCGAACGTCCGACTGAGTCGCCGCTTCGGCGCATTCAGCTGCTTCAAGATCAGCTCACTCGTGCTGGGCATCGACGGATAGACCAGCACCGAGAGCAGGTAGACCAGGTTCAGACTGACAAGCACGATCTGTGCACATCGGCGGGGAGAGGCCAGTAGGAGACTATAGTCAATCTTGTTCTCCTGCAGATATTGGTTCCCTCGGGCGGATATGGCCATCACGATCGACAATGCCTGTCTGAGCTTGAGTGACTCCATAGATTCGATATACTGAGTCAGTAAACCGTTGATATCCCCTACGAAGGCTTGGTCCTCTTCATCGAAGGACTCCCGACTAGTAATCTGAGTAGACGTAGTAGATGATGATTCATCCTCTTTCGATGCTGATTCGGATTGAGTGGGTGGGCCGACAACTGGCCAGGAGAGCGGATCAGGGACGATGGAATGGTATCGGGCATTACAGAACTTGACGATCCGATTGACAAAGTTGCCGAGATTGTTCAAGAGTTCCGAATTCGCTTTGGAGATAAAATCCGTCCAGGTGAATTGCGAGTCATTGGTCTCCGGTCGAGTCGAGATCAGGAAATACCTCCACACCTCAGACGGAACCTGAGTCTCCCTCGCATTTTGTCCAAATACTCCCACATTGTTCGACTTTGAAAACTTCACATTTTCGTATTGTAGGTACTCTGGTTAACCAAATCAGAACATGAAATACCTGTCAAAATTTCAAAGACCACTAGAAAATTGCGACAAATCGATCATAGATTGGGAAGACGAACCGGTTGTACTGATGTGATTAAGCATAGTCCATTCCTGGCCGGTGCCCATAAGATAAGCCGGAAATAGAATCGTATGAAAGGGGACTGAGGATTGAGAAAGAATTTATCAATTACTCAAAATATTATAATACTTCAAGACACCTTGCTGAAATTCAGATTAACGATTTACCGTTATCTTTTCCCATGAACTGATACAAAGTGACCTCCTTAGGGTTCTTCCACCACTTCTCCCAATCATTGGAGTAGTTTGCTGTGATACTTGGATAACCAATTGGCGCATCAAACTGGGTTGAATCGAAGTATGTGTAAAAAATTATTAATTGCGTTTTTCTTTCCCTTCCTTTTCTCCAAAAATCAAATGCTCAAGCGTTAAAGAAGAGTGTAACAGAGACTTACCCAAACATACATCACCTTGTCTTCCCAACCCTTGATTGGCACAGGTACGCCCCATTTGAGATCCCTAGTCAGACATCGTTCGCGCAGCCCGTCTCTCAACCAGGCCTCGGTGAAAGCTTTCCCGTTTGAGGACCAATGATGACCCTCCTTAGCCGAGTTATACCAGCTCTCTATCTGCTTCTGGAGCTTGGGTAGATCGATGAACAGATGTTTGGATTTCTTCGAGATCGGCGTCGAGGAGCAGATCTTGCATTTCTTGTCGATCAGCTCGATCGCATCTAGCGTTTGACAACACGTATCACACTGGTCTCCTCGTGCACCCTGCAGAACTTGAAAAGTTCGGTTAGTTGATGGTCAATAAGTTGTTCAAGCGAATTATAGATCGCTTGAATAGAAAGGGGTGCCCACAGAAGAACCACACTTCGGACATGTCCCTTCCACAAACCGATCCGCTAAGAACCTGTCAAGTCACATCCCATCAGTCATCCACAAGATGTTGAAATGAAAAAAAAAAAAAAAATGTGAAACACTTGCCTGGCATCTTTTTCGCAGTACACTTGTTCAATTTCGTGTTCGGTGAGATGACCATTGTCGTACAATGCAGTGAAGATTTCCTGGCAAATTCTATTTGTTGATTCAAAATGATTATTTGCACCAGAAATTGTTAGGAAAGATTATCTTCTTTTTTTTATTTTGAAATGGTTTAGTTGGTTATAGAAGAAAGAAACAAATGACACACTCTGTTTGCTTTGGAGTCGTTGTACGACCAAAATGATCGAATCCACTAGAATTTCAAAACAGGGATCAACATTTCGATTACATAGAGAAGATAAAGAAAATAGAGATTGACGGACATATCAAACCACTGGTAGCTATCTTTATGGATCTGATGATACTTATCACACAAATCGCTGGGAGTCATCCCTTCCTCGAGAGCCTTAGTTTCCGTTGTTGTCCCATACTCGTCGGTCCCGCAGATATACAAGACTTGGGCGACCACCGGGCCGGTCCTACTGTATCTTGCAAACACATCGGCCGAGAGGGTCGAGCCGATGATATTGCCCAGATGAGGTGCATTGTTCACATATGGTAGGGCCGAAGTGATCAAGATGTTGGGCCGGTCGGATAATGGCACGCTACGGATAATTCAAAATTTTTCTAGTTAGCTTTACACAATTTGTGGTACCCTGGAAGAGGAGAAAAAAAAAAGATTGAAGGTTGTTTAGGTTGTATAGGTGGTATACGGACATCTTGCCTTCAGCATTCGTCACTTGTGGGCTCAGCTCGACTTCCTCCCGAATTTTCCTTCGGCCAGGAGACTCGGTCACCATTGTCATTGGTTCTTGTTCGTTTCTTCTTTCACGGCTCGATGCTCAGGTCCTTGGAAGCTTGTGCTGTTTGTTGGTTTTTGGAATCCTGCTGGTCCGTCGTTGAAACGGGATTGGACTTTCCACAATTGCTGTGCCACCTTCCCCGGAGACGGAGCAGCGGCAGCCGGTGCTGCGCAGCGCATGCTTCTCATCTCTCAACTCTGCTCTCGCTGGCGTTTCTCCGCGCAGATCGGTCGCGGTGGTACATACCAGCCGGCATCGGTTTAACCGGATGAACTCCCTTCGTTCAAAAAAGGTCTTGTTAGTTATAAATGTGTCCCATGAATTGAAGAAACGGCCTCGAGAAAGTTGTGTCTCAATCTTTATCAAGGAACTTGGCAAGGCCCAACATGCAGCCCCCGCAGGCAGACCTTACGCATCATTTGACATTATGATACAACCAAAACACAAGATATTCCTACTGGTACATACTCGACCGGATGGCGTCACGCCTCCTAACCAGTTGATGGTCGCAGCCAAGCGTATTGATCCAGATTATGGCCGAGGCATACGGTTTTATGGATTTGATTCCTCTGAACAGCAGAGAATCAGTCCCCATGCGGGCCTAGACAAATGCTTTATATCCCTGTCGCACCTCTATATCTTGACCGCAGTGGCACCAAATCATCTCAGCGGAATAATCTGGTAGATAGGAATACTGGCTGTATTTGCGCTTAAGAGGCCTGAAATCGGCCATCAGATGAAAAACTCTTTCATTATGTTACTGAAGGCAAGGTGGCTTATATTTCCGATTTACTCGCACACCCAAGGCTATTTTTACCACGGTTCTAAGCCCACTTAACTGAATTCAAGTCAAGTATTTAGATAGCACTGGTCCGGTTCTGAACAATTGTTTACTCTGCAATTGCAGCAGCTGAAATGTTTATTGCCATCAAAATATTCATAGTTAAGCTCATTCAATTTCCCTTACTCCCTGTCCGCTTTGCGTCGTATATGTGCACTGACTTATTGATAAACGATTATCTGCCCACAGGCCATGGTGGATTTTACCTTGATTCGAATTGCAAGCTCAATGGCGCTGCATCGGCCGGTGAGAAGTGGACCTTCCCCGAGGGAGACATACATCGCCTTAGCCCCAGGTACAGTGGCAGATCATGAGGCCTATCTCAGTCGAGATGTCATCAAAGAGGCACTTGATCAAAGATCCAAGTCTAGAAGCCGATGGGTGGGCAATAATCTTGGCACGTACACTTTGCCTGTTGAGTTCACATCGCTTTTTGTTCGAGCCGGAATTCAGGCTGATCGTCAAGTTCGCACCAATTCACGTACAAAGAACCCTATATGCGTGTTCTGTAATAACTCGCTTGATGAAAATCAGCAGAGGGCAGGCCCGATACCTTCTTGCAAGCATTATTCTCATGGTGAATGTCTTGACAAAAAAGGATCGAGTGAAGAAAACCCATGTCCAACTTGCAAGATCGAAGCAGATATCATACAACAGGCATTGAACAACAGTGGTGATGGTGGTATTTGGGACCTAGTTGTGAAAGCATACAACCATCCAATCGCCAAATTCCTGAATTGTATCAATCTCGTGTTTTGCGCGCATTATTTTAATTTGGGTGGACCAATCTTGAGAGATTTCTTCAACACTCCCCAGTAAATTATTTGAGCCCTGGGTTAGAATTTACCATTTCAACGGTTTTTCATCACACCATCATCCATGTTCAATCATTTGGTCTCATTATTTCATCTTTTTGGCTCCAGTCTCATCACTACATGTTAACTGCATGTCTGACATCTCACTTTTGTTGTTGTTTTTTTGGTGCAAGTTGTGGCATCACTTTTAATATTTCCCTGACGTGGTCGAATGTGGTTACGAAGTCAATTTTCATCGTTCTTATCATTTTTTATCATATAAGTTTTTTAATCCATATCCGAGATAACCTTCTTCACTTGCATTCATGTTCTGGGTCATGAGCTCATTAGGTGGTACAATGGCAGATGACACCCAATTTATAAGGGTAAAGCCCGCGCGGGAGGCCACCTCACAACTGGCAGGGATGATTACAGATTACCAGCCCTCCGGGGCGAATGGGGTGTTCAACTTCTTCACTTCCATGAGCCAAACTCAATGATTCCGGATTCTATTGAATGGTCCTTATCCGCTGGTACAAAAAAAAAACAGCTATCAGTCAACAGTCCAGAGGATGTCGGCTTCTTCGTTGTTTGACTTGGGGGAGAAATTGCCATCGCTTCATTCTACAGAATGACTGATAAGAACCAATTGGGAAATCACTGAAGCGACCACAGTTATTTGCTTTAAAAAGAGACCCGGTCTAATCAACTGCCCAGCTACATACTACGTTTATGATAGATAATGATCTGTTTGACGGCGCGAATCGATATGGTGACGTGTTATCAAGCCGATTCAAAATTGCTGAAGGGTGCGCAGGCGAATAATAAAGGGATCAGGCACATAGACACGTTGACGCTTGCACGGTCCGTTGTGAGGCAAGCTTGGCCAGCTCCACTCCCTGGTTGTGCTCACGCAGCTCGACCACTATCACATACAGAAAGCCTACTGTACGCTTGAAGTTAAATCCTATCTTGGTTGATCCATATCTGACGATAGTAAATAAATGGTACTTGTTTCAAATCCAAATTTTAAAAAGCCAAGGGATTGGACAGCAAACCGGCGTAGTTTACCCTTGTATGGTGATAAGTCGACCCCCCCCCCCCTCCGGAACCTTGCAATGTATAAGGGAAGATCAATCAAGGATAAACATCTGGCGAGGGCTGGTTGACAGGCTATGAAGATAGTTGATGACCTCCCCGCGGGCACACGTCACAGGAGTAACCCTAACTGAACTCCTCTATGGGAGGGGAGACGCCGTCCCGCAGGGACCCTCCGTCCGGTGCCGGAGGTACTTAGTTAAGTTAAGAGTCAACCCTTGTTTCAGCGGAACCCTACCACCATCTAATCGGCGCATTGGACTCGGAGGTTGTTGCAAGATAAACTTGAATGAGACTAGGAAACTCACTCATCAGTTGACTTTCGAGATAACTCAGTTCTAAAACGGATGAAATCTGTTGGAATGCAAAGTAAACATTTAAAATGAGTTTAGCTCTGAGTTTAAACTATTATCAGTATGACGCCATACAATCTACACAGTTTCAGTATCCTTTTCATGTGTGATCAAGTCTGCAAAAACATTTGCATTGATAACAGAGACAATCTGTCATTTTCTGGACTGGGAGTATTCTGGTTTCCTGAGATTGCATCTGCCCTTGAGGTGAAATGCGAAATGTGAGGTTTCACCCTTTTTCCACTAGGCTTTATCAATCCATTACGGCAAGATTGAAGTGGTTGGTAACATTTGTGCGATAATTTATATTTAAACAAAAGTTCCTTGACGGGCGCCGGCGCAGGGCCGCTTGCGCTTACAGAGCCTGCAACAGAGACTCGGTGTAGTCAAACGGGTCATTAGGTTTCTCAGGAAGTGGGATTGTTTAGATTTTCACTGTCGAATGGACGGAGCGCTCTCATTCGCAAGATATTCCATCCTTCGTATGTTACTTCGAAAAATGATTGGAAAGGCGATCCCTTTGTTCATTGCGCGATGCGGTTTATTGGTTCTCCAGATCAAACCATCATACATGTCGTTAACGCCAGATCGGACGCGGTTTGTGGAAACAATTACAAATATTCCCGACTTTCAGGCAACAATTTGGCCCAATGAGGATGAAATAAATGGTCATTTGGCAGAGCCCTTAAGCTTCTCTGAATCAACTCCACATTTGCAAGCTTCAGAACCAATATTTGATTTCCAGGTTGATCAAGAGGAAACAGATCACTGGCTTTTCACTCATGAGCTCTTTCAAAATGAGGATGATTTTAGATCACATGAACTACTCCGGCCTTCTTATGATCACGACCTCCAAGACCTCCCAATTGCTAGCAGCAATGTTTTCGACGAAATCTTTATGCCTGATGGCCACGGATCTCCTGGCGTTACACCCAAGCGAAAAGCGAATGCGCTGATATCACAACAGACCGACATTGAAACTTCATCATCGCGAAAAAGAAAGGTTATTTCGGAAATTTCAGGCCAGGGTGAAATCGAGATCAGAGAGGAACTCATGGAACACCCCAAAGAGTCGCTAAGAGCCCATGCAGAAGTAGATAAGGTTACAGGACATTCATGTCCAGATACAGATTCGCATAATCAGAATAACGGACCTAGTAATATTCCAACTGAACAATTCATTGTGAACCATTTGACATCGACAAGACCATTACCTGCAACTGAAATAACGCAAGGAGTTGGGGACGACACAGAGAGTTTTTTTGAATCAATATGTACCTACAGGATCGCATCAGGTGCGCCGCCTAACCAATGCTCCTTCTGGATTCCACAAGAAAAAGTGAATAAATTCCTCAGAACCTATAGATTCTATAAATCGCGCAAGCAACTCATCCTTCAAGATTGCTCGCGAGATATAAATCAACAGCTAGGAAGAATCATATTATCTGTTTCGGAAGAAAGATTGGATATTGATCAATATGTGATTTTCACTGATCAAATCATGAACCCAGTGCAAGAGAAACTTAAAGTGTGGCTGAACTTGCAAAAATCACTTGCCAAAGGACACAATATAGCATATTGTGAAAGTGTAAATCATAAGCGGAAGATCAAAAGCATACTTGATTATGTTAGAAATGTAACCAAAATATCCACATTCCTCATCATCACCGACATGTGCTTATTGAAAAAGAATGCAACTGAAATAGTGAGCAAGAATGATGTTGAAGAGGTCTTGAGGTTCATGAAGGATCTTTGGGAGGAAGATAAAGCAAATAAAGCATTCCAATCAAGAGAATATCTTTACATACGAAGGATGCGAAATTTAACATGTCCAGATGATAATTCCAATAGAAAATGGTACCATGGCTTTACACTTTGGTATTATACTTCTGTCAGTATTCTCAAATATTGGAGAGAAAACAAAAGAGGAGGTGTTGAAGATAGTAGTAGTGATAGAGTTCATCATTTCACAATAGCACAAATGGTTCAACTTGTCATAGATAATTCAGATTATGAAACTAGTGGAATTTACCTCAAGGAAAACTGATAAGCTGACAAAACTACAATCCATTGATTTTCAAGTTTGAAATGGGCAACACTTTTGGAGGAACCAAAATCCAACACATTGACATATATTTTATTTCAAGGCTTCCTTTATTCCTCTGACAAATTACAATACCATGATTATTTTTTTTCTGAAGGGTAGCAGAAGAATAAGAACCAAAGGAACATCTAAATATTCTTGACTGCCATTTTCATCAATAACTATACCTTCCATCACCAAAGAGTTTCTCGGTTATACTTAATTAACAATATGGTAATCATGAAAGGCCTTTAAATCAACCCTAGTACCCTCTTGAATCCCCAAAATAGGTCTTGCCTGTTCTTTCAGTAAGAGGAGAGAAGCATGAAGATGAATGGCTAGATTATAAAAACATATAATTGGATTCAATTGATTTGTCAGGGACTTTCCCTTGTTTCAGATAAACTGCATCACCATCTCATTTACACATTAACTCATACTGAGTGATATACTCAAAGCCACTCATCCAGTGACTTTTGAGACCCATACACCAAGTTTAACAATCAGTAATGGAATTTAGTAATTGTTTTATATGTTGCAGTACAGATTGCGTGGAATTGGTTTAGCTATTGTTTGAAAATTAAACCATATGGAAGCCCAAGTGGGACACACATCAGCTCACGCACATTTTTGACCTTTTTTGAAACCTGGAATGCTTTCATGCCATATACTTCCATTTTTCTAAAATCTGATGAATTGTGGTTAGATGTGCTCAATCTCAACTCAAAGAGAACACCCTGGGTGAGATCCAAAGCCCACAGCTGGGTCCTCAAATTTAATCTCCAATACAAATCCTGGGTTTTACTTTATGAAAGACAAATTTGTTTTCTTTCATGAGTCTAACTGATATTAAAACACTTACATGACATCAGCTCATTATTGGTTTGAAGGTTTCCTCTGTTTGGGGATTTGATGTGATGTTTTGCTTCAAGATTGAATTGTTTACATAAGAGGAAGTAACTTTGTGCAAGGTGATTTAGCCTGTGTTTACATAGCCTGTAACATGAAAACTGGTGTCAATATCAATAATCAGACTGATAAACAACTCTTGACCAATCTGAGTATCAGGGGTTTTTTTTTTTGGGGGGGGGGGAGGGAGCCAAATCTTTTTTGCAATTTCCATTGTGCACATTTATCCATTGGATAATCTTCCCATTTTAATTTCCAACCAATACTGGAAGCATGAAGTCTTTGATGGCTTTACCACATTTTTTCATGCTTTTACAGCAAAACTCAGCCTCCATGATACTACCTATTGATGAAGATCTTCCCTTTCCCCAATTAGAAAATTGGAATCAAGAAGATGCAATAGATATCTATCTGGATGAACCCCTCAATTTCTCTCAAACAAAAACACATTTACACATTCCAGAACCACTGATGGATTTCCAAACTCATCAAGAGGAAAAAAAATGGACTCCTACACATGAACCCATTGGAAATGAGGAGGATTTCAGACCACATCAGCCATTCAGGGTTGCTTATGAACATGAACTCCTACCTCCTAGAAGCAATGTATTGTCTGGACTCATCATGTCTGATGGCAAAAATTCCCCCATAGATATTCAAAATAAACGCAAAGCAAAAGAGCTTATATCCAAACAGAAAGACATTGAGATTTCATTACTACAAAAAAGTAAGGCTCACAAGAAAATTCACAATAAAGATGTTCTGAATATCAAAGGAAATACATTTTCAAGCCCTCAAATGCCATTTAGATCTGATGGAGAAGCGCAAGAGAGCTTGAACCACCTGTGCACACCTGAAATCTTTCACAATGAAGACAAAGGTGCAATGTGGGATTCAGCCAAATTGCCCAACAGAGATCATTTGTCCTTTTTGGAAGAAGTTCTTTCAGATGAAGCAAGGAAAGGAGGACAAGATGAAACTGGAAATTGTTTTGTATTGTCAAGCACTTCTACTCATAAATCTGTGATACCAAATAAACCATTCTGGATCCCACAAGAAAAAGTAAATGAATTTCTCAGGACATATAAGTTGTGTAGAACCTATGCAGATCGCCTGATCCCGGATAACCGAGAAACAAAGAAGTTGCTTGGAAATATCATGGTGGATTTATCCGACCAAAGTTTGAATCTCAATCAATATTCAATCTTCACTGATAAAATCATGAATCCATTCCAAGAAAGACTAAATTTGTGGTTGAAATTAAAAAAAATATGGAATAAAAATTATAAAACACGTTATGATCCTGGTCATCATGAGAGGAAAGTTCAATGGATTCTTGAGTATATTCAAAATGTCACCAAAATATCAACATTCCTCATCATCACTGATATGCATTTGTCAAAAAATTATGCAAGTGAAGTAGTTAACAAGGATGTGGAGAGGGTCCTAAGGTTCATGAAGGATCTTTGGGAGGAAGACAAGGGAAACCAATCACTCCAGTCAAGGGAATACCTTTACATACGAAAGATGTCAGATTTACAATTTCCAGATCAAAAAGCCAATCAAAATTGTTACCGGGGTGCTACTCTATGGTATTATACCTCTGAAGCTGTTGTGAAATATTGGAGAGAGAAAAATAAGCAGAATATTGAAACTAATACCAGGAAGAGAAAGCATAAATTCAAGATAATTCAAATGATTGAATTGATTATAGCCAACTCAAAACATGAATTTTCTAGGATTATCCTCAATGGAAAATCACTAATTGATAAAAAACCTGAATAATACAAGGAGAAATGGGAGAAGATAAGTTGGGAAATAAGCAACCCACATTCAAAAATTTGCTTTTCATTTCTTGAAAGGGTATTACCAAAGAAAATTCAAAAAATTGAAATGTGTTTTGAATGGTCCATACATACATTCAAAATCACATATTTCTCATGTTCCTCACAAATTGCACTTAGGAACTCTATGATATGAATGAATAATCATCTAATAGCTTATGGAATTGGTTTTCAGATAATCAACAAAACCAAACATTTTACAAGCTGTCACATCTTAAAAACATCTGGATTCTGATCACAATCAATCTATGGCTATAAAAAACTTATTCTCCTTTGTTTTTAATTTTTACTTTATTTTATTTTATTTTATTTTATTTTGTTATATTTTTTGTGACTGCACCACAATAAGTTAAAAAATTACATAGAGAAAAAAATAACTTGAAATTTCAAATTTTCTATAATAAATGAATTTTATCACAGAAGACAAATGTTTTTGTGAGTTTTATCAATCAGGGGCCAATATTGTTATGGATTCAAAACCAAGCTGACCTGCAAGAAACATGCAAGTAAAAAGAGGTGATTGATTATTCATTTGAAGCAGTGGAGATCTAGGTGGAAAGAGAGAGAAGGTGGCAGAGGTAAATGCACTGATGGAAACATATTTGGCTGATTTTCAAGACCAAGAAAAGTGATTGGAATGGCGGATAGGGTGGTGGACTTGTCTTTATGTGGACTTTGGAGTTATTTGGATCCCGGAAGAGAAGATAGTCAGAATGTGGGAAAGAGCATATAGAAATGAGAAGTAGCAGATGAATGTTCAGTAGACATATTTTTAGAAGAATTAAAGGTATAATTTCCAAACAAAAGCCATTGAATTGATTCTGTAATTAACAAAACTCCAATTGAAGCATTTTTTTCAAAAATGTATCCACTATGAGGAGCCACAGCACCAAGTGATTACGCTAACATACACTCAGCTCCATAGTAACCCATATAAGTATTAAACCATACTCCCTATTAAACCATGGGAGAGTATTCCACCAAGTTTTCCAAATTGCTGGTCAACCTGACTTTTAAGCTTTATTCCCTCTGAACCCATTCCCCCAAGGGTTATGGGTTATTAGGGAGTTGAGTGTACATCAAAAAAAAATCAAGGAGAACAAAGCATGAATAAAACTTTGAATATATATAGTGGAAGTCAAATGGCATCTAATGGGAAGCCCCTTTTCTCAAAGAATCTGGATCCCAATTTAATCCACACACTTGAGTTAGCTGTAAAATCACATTAAAGTAATCTAAAGTAATAATGTTTTATTTTTACATACTAAAGATTGAAGAAAGCAGGTCACTGAAACTTTACCAAGTTTTCTGATCCTTTGGTATACAGAGTGATCAAAGGTAGTTTTGCTTTGAATTTTGAACAGTTTGGGATACAGAAGCCCATGATAAGGGGCACACAAAATGACTCCAAGTGATTTCTCATTTTCCAGGCCTTGTTTGCCAGCAATATTCAAACATTTTGCCTGAAATCTTATGAGACATCTGATCAGGTCTAAATTTTAATGATGGGATAGGGTTGGTTGGTTCAGGTAAACTTTTCTTGGATGAAATAATAAAGGTTCAAGTTATAATTGCTGATTATCAGTTATAAATGTTTGTGTAACTATAATATGTGTGGGTAGTAAACTTGATGAGTAATAAAATGAGGAGACAACAAATGGGGGAAGATAGCCTCCTTTTATAGACACATTTGAGGTAATTTAGCTCCAGGGAAGACAAGAAAAAGTGATTTTAGCTGGCCTGTAGATACAAATGAGTGAATTTAGCTGGTCTAGACATGCAAGTGAGGGAATATGGCTGGTGAGGCTGTACAATTAATGTCAAAGGCTGTGCTACAGTGCCTAAATGAGGTGAGAGAATGTCAAGTGAGGCAATAAATTGTGGGAAAACTACAGCTGTTGTCATAAATAGTGTGAGAAGACTGTAAAAGTGTGGGAAAAGTAATTTAAAAAAGGCTGCCTGCATCTTGAAATTTTCCCTCTCTTTCTCTCTATGCCCTTTATCCTTTCTCCTCACCTTAAATCAGACTGGTTTAATATTGCCAAGTAGCATGCTATTAGTTGTTTTCTGAGTACCTTCTGAGTCAAATATGAACCTTGATTAGCTCAACTCAATTGATCTTGTCTCTAGGGTATTATGTTCTTCTTTTTCTGAATTATTGTGTGCTATTAAAAATTGGTTTTGTTATTTGTGATATTTTCTCTTGACTAGCTCATCTGGCTTTTACTACAAGAGAATGAGAATTACTGCCCAGTTTGTTATTTTCCAAGAACTTATTTTATTTTCTCTTAATTTTTATTCAAAATACTTTTCTCTATTCAAAATACTTTTCTCCATTCATTTTCAAACCCACAATTTGACCTCATGTACTTACTCTATTTATGCTTGGCTAACTACAGTGAATGAAAATCATTGGTTCTTTCACTCTTCTCCGCAAACCTCTCCCAAAAAGGAAATCCTCCTTCTTGGCCCTCTGTCTCCTAAAGATCATCTGTCCAGAATTTCAACACTGCACAGCCTGCAGAGGCGGTGCATGCAGGTGACAAATAGAACCAAACTAATATATGTGGTGGAGATGAAAAGTTGTGAGGAATTATTTGTATAGCGTGAGCTGTGCATAAGCATAACTGAGAGGTGACTTGGAGGTTGTGACATGTGCTTGAGTTGGCCTTGTGATATGTATCCATAGGGGTGTAATTTCTAATCTGTGGGTTTTCAAGGATACATCCAGTGGAGACCTAGGCTGAAATTGTCTGTAGAGCCCATTCCTGAAGTTGTATTGGTTGATTTCTGAAAGAATTTATGAAAAAAATGTATATAAAGAAAAAAAATTGAATTTTTTTACACATTCAATTACCACACTATCACATGTTACAAAGTTATACACAGTTTGAGCAAGACTTGGGAATAGTACATAGGATTATTTTGACCCTCAACCTCCAACCAACTTTTACTAGACTTATGTGGTTTGATGCTAACTCACAGAAATCCTGTCTTGGGGAGTCCTATATTGTCATCAAATTTATGTTCCAATACACCTATCCCAGGTCTCACAGTGTAACATAGAAAATCAAGTCAATTTATGTCATGAGATTTCTGGATCTTGAAACACCTACATGAAATCAGATCCCTAGTTACCTTGCCTCTGCCTGGCCATTGTATGTCATGTTTGGCTTGCAGAATTGGTTATAAACTTATTGTTACATAACATGAATCAAACTATGGCACATCAAATCATACTGTTATTACAGAGCCTGTAACATGAGGAAGTTGGTATCAATTTCAGACCAATAAACACCTCATTTCCTGTCTGGGTATCAAGTTTCAAATTTTCTATATCAAAACAGATCAAGTATAGATAATCCCTGAATAACCTGCTATCTATGGACCATATTCCCCTTGCAATAATAGTATAAATTCCAACATGAAAGCTTTTATTATCACACCACATTGTTTGTTTCTTTGGCAAATCAAATCAGCATATACATCTTTAGCCTCAGATACAGCTTGCTCCCAATCAGAAGATTGGTGCAAAGGAGATGAATTAGATGGATATTTAAATGAACCCTTAAATTTTTCAAAACAAAATCAAAAGCTACATGTTTCAGGATCAAGTCTTGATTTCCACAATCATCAAGAGGAATCAAATTGGGTTCCTAATCATGACTTCTTTCAAAATGAGGAAAGTCTTAGAACACTGCATGAATCACTCAGGCCTGTTCATTTTTATGAATCCATGATTCCTAACAGCGATATTTCCCATGAACTCATTATGACTGATGGCAATATGCCCCCTGACAGTTCTACAAAGCGCAAAGCAGAGGAGATTATGTCACAACAGAAACCAGTTGAATGTTCATCACTGAAAAAGAGGAAAGCCTTGAAGAGTAACCACAAATATGATTTTGGCATCAAAGAGAAAACTGATTCAAGCACAAACATGCCAATGAGATCCCATGGAAAAGAACAAGAGACCCTGAAAGCTTTGGCACCAGCATCAGTTTTTCAAAATCCAGACAGAGAGACCATGAAGATTCTAACTAGAAAGTTTAATGCAGATGATTTGAACTATCTCAGAGACTTCCCCACAATTGAACCAAGCACTGGAGCTCTGCATGATACTGAAAGTTTTTTCAAGTCCTTGTGGACCTATAATTGTAAAAATCTGCCACCCAACCACCAATTCTGGATCCCAAGAGAAAATGTGGATGAATTCCTTATGACATATAGATTCTCTCAATCCCATGCAGATCGCATGATCCGAGATAACCGAGAAACAAAGAAAGAACTCGGAGATACTATCTTGAAGTTATCAAATCAATGGTTGGATCTCAATCGATATGCTACCTTTTTTGAGATCATCACTTACTTCCAGAAGAAACTCAATTCATGGCTGGACCTCAAAAAGACATACATCAGCAGATCCAAAATACGTTATGATACTACCCACTTTGACAGAAAAGTTGAATGGATCCTTGAGTATGTCGGGAATGTAACCAAAATCTCCACGTTTCTCATCATCACTCATATGTATATCTTGAAAAAAAATCCAACTGAGATGCTGGACAACAATGATGTGGAGGATGTGTTGAAATTCATGAAAGATTTGTGGGAGGAAAATAAAGAGAATGAATCATTCAAACCAAATAAATATCTGTATATAAGGAGGATGGCCAATCTGACATTTCCAGATGATAAGGTCTATAAAAATTGTTACAGGGGTGCTACCCTATGGTACTACACCTCTGAAGCCATTCTAAAGTATTGGAGAGAACGATATCAACAAGAGATTGAACCTGGTAGCAATTCTAGTAGGGGAAATCAACCATTCAAAGTAATTCAAATGATTGAACTTATTATAGCTAATTCAAATGATGAAATCTCTGGGATTTACTTCAAAGGAAAGTCACTGATTGGTAAAAATCCCAGCATTCAATAAATGTCATAAAGAATGTTCACCCACTAATTTGTAACTCATGTCCCAAAAGGAATGTTATCAACAGCAAACCCACAACCTTTACAAATACATTGTTTCTTGATAGTAAATCCTCACCTCCATTCAAAATTTCAGTTTTTGTTGACATATCATATTTAGAACTTTTCCCATTTAAACCCAATTCACTGTTGGAATCACATATTCCATATCTATAGAACTAATCCTCCACTTTGATTTTCCAGAAATCCAACAGAGCAGACCCCATAAACATACAATATGTTGTTTTGGGCTTTGATCTTTGTGAATAGAGTCTAGTACATCAATCATCCTGAGCTTTCGAAATGGAGAATGGATTCAATTCAGGTGGAAAAAAAATAAGAAAACCCCTCATAAAACTTCCCAATTAATGGGCAAGAGACATCTTGGTAACCTGATGGTGGCCACTAAGCCTCCAGCTCCCAAGAATTGAAACCACATCCTCTTGTTCCAATTATCTATCTAATCGATCATTTTCTCGATTATCAGACCCAGAAGAAAATCAAACGTTCAGTGACTGATCACATCTTCGACAAAACCTTCTCAGCTCAACTGTTGTATGGCCCATCCTTTGAACGAAATTGATTCTCTTTTATTTCGGGCTTTTTCCTTCATCATCACTTCATTTATGATACAACATCAGATGGAAAACAAGGACAACTTTGAGTACAAACGTGCCTCTAATGATCGAGGGGAGTTTCACCGACGATGACGATGGTTATTTTGAGGGGTATCAGGGACCAAGACGGTTGCGGATCTTGATGCGAGACCTACAGGGAAAAACACATATAAAATTATAAAAGATTAGTGATGAGTCAATGGAGGCGCAGCAGGGAGATGTATGTGGAAAGAGGGAAGAACCGAGAGACAGAGGGAAACGTACCAGTGGAGGAGAATTTAGCGGATTTGCGAGGGGTGGATAACTGATTGATGGATAGGGCGGTGGATTTGTCTGAATTTGATGCGAATGGAGTTGAGTGGATGGAGGGAGAAAGAAGATAATCAGTTTGAGAGAAAAAGAGCGGCTAAAGGAGATAAGGAGTAGACGGACGTTTCGGGGAAGATTGCTTGCGTTTAGAGCCCGCGAGATGGGAGTGAGAGAGTGAGCGCGGTTGGGCGGGACGATGGAGGGGGCCGACGGAAGAAGAGTTGAGGATGGGACGAGGTTTAGGGAGGTGGGCGGAAGTCTTGGACATGGTGACCTGTCTGCGATTGAAGAGAGCACGGGAGGAGCGAGCTTGGAGGGCCAGCTGGGACTCGCTAAGCGAGCCGGGCCGAGCAAGCGGCCGGCGTCGGCCCAGGCCGGTCAGCTCGAGCATCGTCGGACTCACGTTCTGACGCATCTGCGCCGTCTCCTGTCGCCCCGCTCGCGCCGCTGCCCGTCGCTCTAGTTTCTTGAGGTTCGGCGTCCGGTGGATCGTGCCCGGCCCGGGTCGCGCCGTCGCATCGAACTGCGTCGGCACTAACGACGAGGATGCTGATGGATCGTAGATCGAGGTCGGGAAGAGCTTGGGTCGGAAGGATGGATTGAGGAGTGGCAAGTGTCGAGTATAACTGTTTTCGTCACCCATAAATCATTGCAAAGTCAGTGGACTGCTTAGTCAAGAAGATTAAAGAGCCGTATTGAAGAGAAAGAAAATCATCAACCCAACGAGAACCTTGTGTGGAGAAGAGAATCAACTCAACTGTTCTTCAACCACGTCAGTCCAAAACCTTTGTACGTCGTCCAGATCGAGAGTGTCGGAAGAAGGGATTAGGGAGTCGTTTCGAGGGTTAGATTTCCGGGAAGGGCCGAGATGGTTTTCGAGGCCGGAAATGATCTGCCACATGGCGAGTTTGTCGACGAGGCCCTCGAGGAGACACTCGAGGTCCGCGACGACCTCCTTATCTTCCAGCTCCTTCTCCTCCTCTTCTCCCAATCCACCCAGATTCCGCTTCTCTTTTCCTTTCTTCCGGGGAGAGGCCGATAGTTGCTTCTTGTGTAGTAGCTGTGAGCCTGCGTCTAGTGATAGGTTGGTCAGGATGATGAGTTCTAGTAAGAGGACGATCTGCAGTTGAGTCCTACAAACCAACACAGATTAATATCTCAGTACGATTCTTCGTCTTTCTAGATGTTTCAACTTGAGCTAAAAAAATAAAAATAAAAAGATAGGAAAGATGACAAGACGAAGAGACTGACTCCCTGGTACTCCAAACCTCGAGTTGCTGAGCGATCGAGTCGGGTTTGATGAAGGAGACCTTGGTGGAGTCTGGGACGGGATGAGGGCCGGCGAGAGGACGAGAGAGGTCAGGTTGAGCAGGGCTGAAGAATTGTTGGAGGACGAGAGCGAAGGCTTCGGGTTCGTTGAGATGGAAGAGCTCCTCGTCATTCTCCACCACGATCGCCTCTTCATCTTCTTCTTCCTGCTCCTCGTCTCCGTCGACCACGCGCTTACTCCGTGCCTCGTACACCCGTGCGATCTTCCCCATCTCAGTGCCCCACTTCCGGGCCAACGCTTCCTCGGGGATCATGAATGACTCGTACAGTCCTAGCAGAGCCTCCTCCTCGAAACCCTCCTCCGAGTTCCGTACCCGGGCTGCAAAACGCTCGACGGCAGATGTTTCGGGAAGGTAGACGGCCTCGAGATAGAGCCTATTGAGGAGTGTCGCCAGTTGGTCGATTGGCTCGTCATGATCGGTCGACCGACACGAGAAGATCGAGTCCCACGTCTGGAGGAGATCCGAGGGCGTTTTCCGTGAGGGTCGCTCGGGAGAAGAGGCGAGATGGTGTGGGATGGCTATGGCGGTGGTGTGATTGATGGGGTCGATGGGGTAGCTCGGCTCGGCTGGCCATCCGAAGGGACAGTCGAAGGACGGCCCGAGTGAGTATTCGATGGTCGACATGTCCGAAGTGGATCAGGATGGCGATCATTGGCAAAGTAGTTGGATGGGAGTCAACAGCCCATCCCCGTAAAACTCAGATTTACATACAACCCCTCCGTTGACCATCACCCTTACCTCATCACCATTCACAAGATACAAACCACTCCCACCAGGACGGTCCACCTTGGCTAGTAAATGTCTAGAATCACCAAGCTCATGGCCGTCATCTCCAACGGATAGAAACCATAGGACACAGCTGGCCATTGACACAGAGCATATCCTGTAAAACCCACGAAATTTTCATGAGACTTTGTAAATGCCCAATCGCTGGAAGATAATATATTCATCTCTCATCGAACAGTCCTTATACTCCCTTGGGAGCAGAGAAAAGGCCTGATCTTCTTTAGCGCATCAGCCGCGTCTAACTTGGGTGGCGTTGCTCCAGGAGTTCTTCATGACGTCCCATGACCGCTAATCAATGACAAAAGTAACCCCGAAAGATTGTGGGCTTCATAGCCTTCAAGCAGCCGGCATTATCTTACGTTAAGCTGGCATAGGATCACCAAGGCGCGTGCTAACCGACACTATACGAGGTCTCGAATGCATCCACGGTCCCTTGAGGCTTGGTCTATTAACCTTGAAACGTGCCTCGACATATTACCATTACGGTGGCATTTCTCGTCAACAGAATTAATGCATTCTGATCTTCAAGAGACTCCATCGAAGTAAAATAAATCAGAAAAGATAGCATCGTACAAATTGGGAAAGAAGGTCTAATAGAACTAGCCCCACTCAGGGAAATGCGAGGTGAAAGATCTGGAAGCTTCCTGCCTCTTGCACACCTGATCCCCAGAGGTTGCTTGGTCGGACTGTCAAAAAAAATATACAGCACTTTTTCTGATAGTAAGTAGCGGATAAATCGAGTTGAGTCAAATGGCTGTGTAGACGGCTTCTGCCAGATCAAGGTCCACAACCTACTAAGCAGTCATGTAACATGATTTGAGTTTTGAGTATCGCAAAACATGATTTATAAATGTCACTTTTTTGGAATGCTTGCCTTATTTGGGACCAGTGCCCACAAGTCGTCAGATTTTAAAAGAGCACTCAGGTTCTTGCTCCTCATATTTTATTTTTCATTTCATTGGTATCTCGGAGTAACTGTTGAGGATCTAGGCTAGCTGATAAGAACCTGTAATGTAAGAATCGGGTTCAACAAAGCGTCAGTAGTAACAAATCTCGATGAAATATTTCCTACAAATGTACGTCGATTGGTAAGAATCAGGCCCACCACTGGTCTTTTGGTGGACCGGCCGGCATAACTCATTTCCTGTGAATGTACGCCGGACAGTAGCCGGTGAAACAATTGGCCGGTCAGTCGTAATCGGGCGCAATAAGACATCTGCAGACCGGCCGGTAAGGATAAGAAACAATAGGATATTTCTTATGAATGTAGGCTGACAGGCCAAAAGGAAAATCGATGAGATATGTCTTGCACGGCCAGTCACTTAATCGTCGACAACATCTGCTACATGTTGCCCAGTCTGTTGTAATTTTTGAGTTAATGACCAAGCTTTGGTTGGGCGGCGAGTTTGTCTTTGTCTAATGAGCAAACCGCAGAGGCAGGCTACCAGCGACTCATCATCTTGACTAGGGCATTGCGAGTTGTATATTGAAAGCAATTCGATCAGATACTCATCAACCAAG